TGGCAACTAAAAGTAGTTTTAAGCACTAAAGGGGAGTTCTGCCAAAACAGTTACCTGGGCTTGACCGAATAAACAGTTACTGAACTCCAAATGAAATTGTAGGTAACCAAGAAGCCTGATGCTGTATAGTTACGTGATGGAACTTACGTTGATCTTAAGAGCACAAGCTGAGAGTTGTAGCTTTGCTTTCTTAGACCAGTACTGCTTGGATGTGGAGGTTGCTCTGATTTCTCTTAGGGGCTGCAATAGTTACATTTCACCCCGCCAAGGTACACCTAACAGCAAAAATGATCTTTTACAGCTTTCCAGTAGTTATTCTGTCTGAAAATACCATATATTCCACAAAAGCAGCTGAACTCTCTGCAAGCCTAACCACACACGTTAACTTGAAAAGGGCAGACTAAGTATAAGTTGATCCTAAGTTAAACCTATCTCTGTTACTATTTTTATATATAATATGGATACAATCCTGCAGGGGACACTCTGTGAAGGCTGTACTAAAGCAAGAACTGCAAGATTCAGAACTCCATCAAACAAGTCAGTTTTGATCTCAGGTGTTGGTATGAAAAAGCACATATTCCAGATGGTGTGGTTGATATGAATACACTCCAGAGAGACTTTGAGTTCATTCTTCAGAAGCATAAAAGAAAGGAAAATATAGCCCATGAATTTTCATGTACTAAAACACAGAGATGCGTATTTCAGCAATATAATTACTTGGCATTTAGCAAAACTTGCAAAACTCCTACTACAGATGCTAGTAAATCTAAAAATTTTGAGTGTTGAACTCCGCTTTGGTTTACATCTAGGCAACTTTATCAACTTTAGTCCAAGTTCAGCATAGCTCCATGGATACAACAGAAAGCAGAATCTGGGTTTTAGCTTTCTTGCAGAAAGGTATTTTATGGCTTATAACACAGAAAATTCACAAGAGTATGCCTGAAGCTGAACACTGAATAGTAAATATCTTTATTGTACTACTGTACCTGGACTCTTAATGCAGTGTCTGCCCCCAAGATCAGTGGCAGCAGAAAGACTTCTCCTCACCTGGTTCACCACAAGCAGGTCAAGGAAGTCATGGGACAGCATGCCCAAGCGTTGCAGAACAGTGCCTCTGATCATGAGAAACTCTTTGTGTCTACTCAGAGAGTAGTAAAAATGAGTATTTCATCTTGAGTGGTGGGAATATATTTTAACTGTTGAATAAAATAAACACATTCAGGAAAACATTTAACAGCAGAGATAACTGGCAATTGTAACTAATTGCTGCTTTGCCTGCGTAAAGACTGCACTGCCAGGCCAAATACTTGGAAGGTGCAAAGGGCTGTCCCAGTGTGTTTGACTGCTCTTCTCCAATTACAGTACTATTGATTTATAGCAGCAACAGGACTGACTCCGAGCTTCAATTCTCTGGGCTTTTGCTTAGAACAGAAGTTGGGCCTACTCCTGCATTCCTTTTGTACCTAAACTCTCCCAAGTCTTATCAGGCGTTCAAAACTCTGACTAATGTCTGTGGGAGTACTTGTTACAAAGGAATGAAGGACAGAGTCAGTTGTAAGGAAAGCTGCACCTTAGAAAAAAATACTCAGTCATTTCCTCCACCCATTTTTAAGGGAAACACACAATTTTCAAAAGCAGGATTTGAATATATTTATCTAGGCCCCAAATGTACATTCCTTCTGGCTCCCAAAACTCCATGTGAATGTTAGTTTTGCTTGAATAAGGCCTGCAAGATCTATCCCCAAATCTTGCTCCTTGTTAAATTGAATGGAAATTCTGCAAGTGACTTCAGTGAGGTCAGAATAGACCCTTCAGCCACTAGCATGTTGCCCAGATACTTTAGTCACCTTTTCTGCAATACAATAATGTCTACATCTGTTTTCACTGACCTGTAAGACACTACAGATTGTTGTTAAAAGAAAGGGTAGAACACAACACCAAATAATGTTGCTTTGGGAATTTTACCATTAGTAAGTCTCTTTCCCCTCACATTTTCTTGTAAGATCAAAGATCAAACTAAAATGATTAAGTACACAGCCAAGTAACTTTAAACCTACAGATCAAAATTATTCTCAAAATGTTCAAATACTTTAAAATATGCACTCAACTTTACTTCTAAAAAGCATTTTTCCAACAAACTTAAGCTGATATCTAAGTCTAAAATGAAGAGCTGTATTTTATCCTATTGTCCATGGGCAACGTATGGGGCCACAATGTATTGAAATAATAATCCTTGCTTTCTGAAGAGAAATTGTTCTGTGTAATAATTTCTGAGGTGTGGTTTAAACTCCTGTCCTCCTCTAATTTCAGAAGTCATCTAAAATTATAATCAAACATGCTCAAACATATCTGTGGGCTTAAAAACACGGTGTGATCATGGTCGGCAAACACTGGATAGAAGGTCAAACTGAACACTTCCTAACAGGTCAAGAGTAAAAAAAAAAAATATAGAAAGATGAACCTCAAAAATCTACTACAGGGGTTACCTAAACTTTGCCCGGCCAAGGATCACATTGGTGATTAATTGCTTCATTAAGTCATGTTAAATGGAAGAGACTGAGTCACTTTTAATATGGCAACTTGGTCCTTAGAGATGACAGGCGCCAACAGGCAATGTGCCACCCTGATGTTTGCCATAGAGCTATGCAAGATTTAAGAGGAAAGGAAGTAAGTCATAGCATCCATGCATGTAGAGCTTATGTGAAAATGGTGGAAGTGAAGGCAAGGGCAAGAGGGACATGATGGCCAGGCACATGGGCACTAGGGATATTAACTTTTTTCTCAGATGAAAGTCAGTCTCAGGGCACATGACCAGTTCCCATCACCACCTGTTACCTGTGCAGGCCTCTCCTATGGCTGCCCTTGGGAGATCTGCCATGGACATGAAGGAAAGCGGGACTGGTCCCCTGGCCCACAGGCTGCGCTTCGGCCACCCCTGACCTATTAGAAAATGTTGATATTTTTCCCCACTACAACTCACAGAGTGCAAAAACAGCAAGCGTCAAAGTTTGAAACCCAGGCCTTCCCACCCACGCCAGGCCTGGCCTCCCCGGTCAGCTCCCCTGCCCACTCTGCCTTCCACCACCTGCTCCTCTGAGCAGAGGCGACCGCACTACACGGCCAGGTCGTCTGACCTGGCTCTGCAGCTGCTCGACTTACTGGCCCTGCTCAAGCGCCGTGTGTCTACGAGCAGCGGTGGCTCATGCATCTCCACGGTGGTGCAGGCAGCTGAGATGGGCCGTTCCTCTGGCAGCTCCTCCTCCACATCCCACTTGCTGCCGCTTGCCCCACTCACGCTGGTGCTGCTGCCGCCGCTGCGCGCCTTGCCCCACTCACGCTGGTGCTGCTGCCGCTGTTGGCCGCAGCGACAGGTGGTCCAGCTGGGGGTGGAAGTAGCTGCTCCAGTGGCAATTCCTGCTCGGGAAGGGGATGCCGGACACTGCTGGGGGTAGTGGAGCCTGCTGAGCTGGAGGGTGCCTTCCCTTGCTGCTTGGCTGCCGTGTTGACCCAGTTCTGCTCGGCTGCCAAGGCACGGTTGCTGTTGAAGTAGTTGATGACGGCTGGCGTGGGTGTGGGGATGGGAGTCGGGATGGTGACAGGAGTGGAGATGGGTGTAGGAGTCACAGCACGGTGCCTCTCCTCAGGAATTGGTGGAGCAACGGGGTAGCTGGCCATGGAGGCTGTGTTGGAGGGGGGCCGTCGTCTTGGAGCAGCCGCAGCGTAGTACTGCGCCACGGTCACCGGGGCCAACAGCGGTGTGACAGCACGGGTGTCAGGCAGAACAGGTGGAGGCGCAGCAGTCGTTACCACCATGGGTAGTGCTGGTGGTGGCAGGGCAACAGGTTTGGACTCCCCTGTTACCATGACTGGCGTCATTGTTGCGACGGGCATCTCAAGGCTGTACCGGCTTGTCATGCCCTGTTTAAGCTTCTTCCACCCCAAGTGGTACATCTCCAGCATGTTCAACAGCAGGGAGACAGAGGCCACCACCAACATGAAGATGATAAAGATGGTCTTCTCGGTGGGCCTGGAGATGAAACAGTCCACAGTGTGCGGGCAAGGTGAGCGGCTGCACTGGTAGACTGGCTTTAGCTCAAAGCCATACAGGAAGTACTGGCCCACAATGAAGCCCACCTCAAACAGTGTCTTGAAAATGATGTTGAAGACATAAGTACGGAGCAGGGCCCCTCCCATACGGATTCTACCACGTTCATCACGGATTGGGAGCTTCTCTTTCCCCTTTTTGACAAGAGGATCCTTGACGTTATTGCTGCCTCCTCCACTACCACTGCCAGACGCTGCTGCTCCTGGGTAGTTGCTGCTGTCTTTGACATTTCCCTTCTTTTTCAGCTCTTCTTTCTCTTTCCTCTTCTCCTCCATGCGTACAATGTGCAGCACGTGGCCCAAGTAGATGAGGGTTGGAGTGGAGACAAAAATGATCTGCAGCACCCAGAAGCGGATGTGAGAAATGGGGAATGCTTTGTCATAGCAAACGTTTTCACAACCAGGTTGCTGAGTGTTGCATGTAAAGTCCGACTGCTCGTCTCCCCAGACCTCCTCAGCAGCGGCCCCCAGCACCAGTATCCTGAAGATAAACAGTACCGTCAGCCAAACCTTGCCAATAACCGTGGAGTGCTCCTGTGCATTCTCTAACAGTCTCCCCAGAAAGCTCCAGTCACCCATTGTTTCAGATTTCTAGCCTACAATAAGAACATTAGAGCAATTAGAGCAATGTTAAAAAAATCTTATAATTATACAATGTCAGGGCAGAACAGTTTGATCCTCAACAAATGACATTTCTTAATTGCACTTTCTTTTCCAGAATATCAGACACCTACATTAAGAACTACATAAGCCTGTGACCATTCAGACACAGGTTTTGAATAGCAGAGTAGTGGGATGTTTAGTGGTTTCACCTAGCTGATACAGGTTTAAGAGTCTATACACAATGACAGGCAAGAAAGATTCATAACCAGAATTTCTATAAAATTAAAATATTTTTAAAAAATAGCTTCTCTGCTTCTTCCATCTGAGATGTCTCTAACTGTTCTTGCCTGTTTCTAGAAAAGTACAGATGGATATCAGTTCAATTAAACAGAATATTCCTACTATTAATGCAACTGCACTTGTATCAGAGTGTGATATGAAGTCTGCCTAACTAATAACTTTATTGTTATCAGGACGTAGTTACTCCAGCATTCAGGAGGTTAGTAATGTCCCACATCTCTGCAATTTTCATACTGTACCAGTAAGGAAAAATAATTACTCAAAACATACGGAATTTACTGCTTAATTTTGGAATGTGTACAGCAACAAGAAGCATGTTCTCACAGCCTACTCATGCTTGAATTTGTTAATTTCTAACAACAGAGAGTTATTTTAATAACTTGAAATATTGGGAACAATTAGAAATTCTGAGAGCAATGGTGGAAAGGTTTCTATGCCATTTTCCCTACTGTTCTGTCAGTTGGTGTTACTGAACCACATGTACTGCAACGTTATAAAAAACAAACACACAAACAACAAAACCAAAATACAACACAAAAACTCAAGGACACTTCAGCAACTGTGTACAGAGATTTTTTTGGAAAAATACAATTATACCCTATGACCTTACTACTACAAGAAACATCTGGTGTATGTTCTCAGTAGTTTCCGCCACTTCATGTATGATAAGCTGCCCGTGTCCAATTCAAGGCAGCGACACAACTTCTGATTTGGAAAGGCTTAAAGTACAAGATTTTTTTAAAGATCAGATTCCCCACAAGTTGCCTTCAATTGGGAAACAAGCTGTTACCTGCTGGCATCACTTCTATTACCCTTGGCCTGTTCCTAATTGGAATATATGTAATAATGTTAGAATATATGCAAGAAGTACATTTCATTCTCCTAGTGAGCACACTCCTATATTCCATATGTCAACCTTCAACTGAAAACAAAATAAAAAATTTTCCTTTCAGCTAAATTCAATACTTTCAGAAATACTTATATCTTAATTATAATTCAGATATAACAATTTGCATGCAAAAAACACTATCAGAAAAGACTGATTATTTTCTTGTTTAAAAATCTTAGACTATTTTATAAATATAACTGTATTACACTCTACTCTTTTTTTTTTTTTTAATACTTCTACTTCTTGCCCGAATACCCGTGTTTCTTACAATTCCCAAGAGGAAAAGGTGTTCACCATTACAGGTAGGAATTTACCACTGAGAAAATGTACTGTTCTCGGTAGCATATTTACTGTCATCTCCAACAAATGATGTCACTGTTTTTCCAGATGAAGCATTTCCAGTTGGTTCTGAACTTCTTTCAAGCTTTTAGTTAAGATAATTAGAGAATTAAAGTTATTTGAGTTACTTTTTTATAACTTGATTTTACTATGAGGCATCGTAACTGTGGAATAATAGACTTTCACACAAAAAGCAACAACACCCCCATTAGTATTTTGCATTTTTGTAAATTCTGGAATTCTACACACTTTTTTATCTCCACAAAGTTAATTCAACAAAAACTCCCCCTAAAAAAAGAGATCTTTGATGTTCTACAAAAACTCATTCCCTTTAATATAATTGAATTCTTTTTCCAGCATAGCATGATAAACTGCAAATGATGATATTAACAATGAAATACTGATTTTGTGTTGTAATGTCCCTGGTCCTAAAACAATTTTAAATTATTTTTTTAAAATATATTCAGACTTTTTTTAAGGAGTGTATTTTTCCCCTCTTAAAATAATAATTCAAAACTGAATAATTTTTGTTAGAAAACTTCATCTTTATAATCCTAATTTAATAACTTTATATGACTTTAAAATTTAACCCTGAACTTTAATTTTATGAGGTTTACAATATTTTGTATGGTGAAGTAATTTTAACCTTTAGAAGTATTAATTTTTTCAGGGAATAATTAATTCCTTTTGTATCTATTTTACAAAAAACCATTTTAAGATATGCCATCTTTGGACAGAACTAAACTGTTCTTTTGGAATGTTCTCATTTTGAGTAGTAAAGATTGCTATGTAGGAACACCAAAATGAATAATAAGGAAGTTTAGTATAATTCCAGTATTTTGTTTCTCTGCTATCCTTTGCATGATTCTGTGCCTCTCAGCTCAGTTCTCTCTGCCTCAGTCCTTGTTTTCCATCCAGCTCAAACAAAACAGGCAGCTCAGTTAATAACCAGTCAAAGTTACAGTTTGTTCTTTTGTTACTAATATTTGTAACAGAAAGTGTATTATTTAGCAAAAGTTAGCACATTCAATCTTCTTTAATTTATTAATTATGGTCTTTTTTCAGCATGGCTGCCATTACCCTTGTTTCCATTGTTATAGAGACTGCACGCTGTTCCTCATAAAGACAGATATTACCTCCTATTGTTTCAAAAAAATGAAGTCAATTTGCCCCCATGAAAAATTCTATCGCCTGCATGGTAAGGTGAACAGAGGCAGCAATCTTCTTTTTTCCCTATGGGCACACTGTAGTGTATCTCTTACTGAGATCAATAGGCAATGTTCACTATAATGAAAATAGGATTTTTTGTGCTTTTCTGAAGAATTATCTAGCTATTAGTGGAAGAAGAAAAATAACAATTTGCAAAAAGTAAAGATGACAAATAATACCATCTAATTTATTCTCAATCATTCTCCATTCACTAACACTACTGAAGATGGATTTTTTTCTGCTTTTACTAAAGGCTAACAATGCCCAGGCTGGGATAATTCAGGACATCAAAGACACAACACAATGCATTTCTCAAAGGATACACTTAAAAAAGCTATTCTAATGCCTACATTAATTAAAAGATTTATTTCTGAAAATTCACCCTGTGCACAAAGCAAAAGCATTTAAGCAGTGAGCAGATACTTCACAGCATCTTAACCATACAGAGGTGAAAACCCCAGTGTTCACCTTAGTACAAATTGTAGCAATCACTGCCTTCACTCCAAATGTGTATTACCCACAATACATAAATAGAAGAAGGACACTGTTTCCAAGGGCAGTGCAAAGATACATATCTCCACTGGCTGGAGGGTTCTCAGAAATCTAGGTTCTGTATCTTTTTTCAAGGTGAATATATTCTTGCTTGAGTATTTTATATATTCTTAAAGCAAACCTAACTCATGTGAAAATGACATCAACAATTTTAAAGGGGCGCTTTAACACAAATAATGATTAAATGACATCAAACAAAACCATATGGCTCACAGAGCACACAGAATATTTGAGTTGTTGTCATTAAATTCAACAATAAAGTATCTAACTCTGAATTTGAACAGTCACAACTCAGTATTTCAGCTGAGAACAATTCCAAGCTTGCTTTCATAGGATTACATAAACTTCAGCTCTACAGCACCACTTTCAGCGCTGCTGAAATACAGACCTACACAATTGCTCAGCCCTAATCTTATAGACACATTGTGAAATGAAACATTTTTTCTTTCTGTGCTTGGAAAAACACAGATAAAGAAATGAAACATCTTTATCTGTATTTCCTGTCGGTCGGGCAGAAACACCCACTAGGGAACGACAGCAAATCTGTCTCAGCATGGAGTCCGATACAATGGTATGAAAAGCAAGGACTTCATGAACCTTGGGATCATTTGGTAAAAACGGGGAGTCGTGAATTGTTTGTGTCACTTGAAAATCATTTCTCTGAGACAAATGCTGAAAAATGGGCAGTTCCAAAAAACTGGCGTGGCATTCTGTTTAAGAATCGATGTTGTGCTATTAATTACTAGGTTTAGTACATGCAAAAATACACTTTGCGGATGGTGTGTGTGTGTTTGTGTGTGTGTGTGACAAAGACAACAAACAAGAGAGAGAATAAATTTTAAAACCTGTGTTGTCATATATATATTCCTCTACAGGAGAGAAATCATTATCATGTGGTATCTGTAAACGTTTCAGTTATTATTTCTATTTCTGATGACGTCACTGAAGAGGTTCATCACTATATATCAAGTGTGTGAAACACAATATTTTAATTATTTATAATTTCACTTATACATTTATGTGTATTTATATGCACATATGCACACATATACACACATAACAAACTACACAGATATGTTACATACAGTACCAGATTATGACATCTGGTGTATTTATTACTTTATTATACTGGTACACCTAAGAAATGTCCCTTAGCAACTATGTAGAAATCAAACATTTCTTTGTCTGAATATGATTTCTTAAATTCAGTCCACATTTTCTTTAACTTCTTGTGATAGTCTAAAATCTTGGGATATAGGTTTTTATCTTCAACATTATCTCAATTTAAAAAAACAGTATGTGAAAAAAATGCTATTAAAAGAGACAACAACTTGCAATATTTCGCTTTCACACTAAACAGTCAACCATCTCCATTACAACCAGGTTTTTAACTCTGCTAATTTAAATCTGATAAAAGTAGTCACCTCATACAAAGTCTGCAGTGTGTCTATGTTGTTTCAGACAAACTGGCTGATGTGGAGGGACAGAATGAGCTACTATAATTTCCACTGAAACCTAATGGTTGAGGTCTCATAATGTGCTTTATAAACTTGTTTAAATAAGGACTTGAAAAAACACCTTTCCTCTTGCTCACAGTGTCATACTTTCAGAAAGATCAATTATCACTTTCATTGTATTTTAAGCACTAGTAAAAAATTAATCTCTTAGGTGATCTTGTTATTACCTT